CAACACTGACAACTGCAAGAGTAAGTATTTTCCAAACTCTTAATGGATTTAACTTACAGAAGGGCCCTAACAAGTGTACAGAGAAGTTGAGGAAGAAAACTAGCACGATCAAGAAAGGGAGTAATAATTATATTGTTTTGCAATCATTAACTTCAGGATAACTAACCTGATTGTTTGATAAGCTCTGGACAGCAATAAATCCAGTGTTGGGAGGAGCAAGAGGGCCCCAGAACATGGCAAGGCAATGCATGTGTTCTGGAGTGTACTTAAGCATGCGATGCCTTCCATTTCGATCCTCAATTGCATAAATAGGCGTAGTTTGGTAGCGCCTCCATCCAATAGAGATAATTATTGGATCTCTAGTCTTCAGCACTTTCTTGTGCCACCTGTGCCGCTTTAACCTGGCCTGGAAGGGAAAAAAGATAGGCATCTCATGACATGTAGGTTCATCACTATGTACAATGTAAGTTGTGCATAACTTAATAGCATATGCCATGGTTGCCACCACATAAATCTAGACCAGATCATTTCTTTCCTTTCTTTAGGAGCGTAAATGGTGGGCTTTTAGATGAATAAAAAAAATGCAAATTATAGTTAAGATATAAAGTGACAAAACATTCCTTCATAATTCTGTTAAGTTTATGCTAAATTTTATCAGAAGGTGCGTTTAATAGTCTTGAACATTAGGATGCAATTTATCATAATTGTAAGTATAAGGTGTTAACTGATATTGAACCTAAAGTCCAGGGTGTTCTTTGACATTATCCCTGAAAATAACCTAGCATATTCCTCACCAAAAGAAGAACATTATTAGATAACATAGTCCCATAGAAGTGAAACAGAGACATACTATTCTGAATTTGAGTTACCATGAAACCAAAAAGATTTCTAGAATCTTCTAACCTGCATGTATCCAACATTTTCCTCGCCAAAGCCAATTCCTCCAACCAAAACAGGATGGCAGGGATCAAAATATTCAACCATCTCGAAAGGAACATCATGAACTTCCAATCTAACGTACGTCCCAGTCTGGAAGCCCTCTACCTCTAGTCTAGTGGCCTCATCAAGATCATTGAGTTCAGCCATATTCATTTGCTTCCGGAGTTCAATCTCCTCCTTTAACTGGAAGGCACCAAGCATGAGTCACGACAAAAACTATGTAGCGGAATGCAAGAATTGTTTAAAATTTTTTCCAAAAGGTTTACCTTGTCAACATATCCAGGTTCATTAGGTTGACCACGGTGAAACTTGGCCCCATTTTTGCCATCAGTTTCTTCGTCCATTAATTCAGATCCATCATATGTAGACCAAAAGTCAAGGTCACCAACAGTTTCATATTGCCAAAAGCATATGCAAGAAAATGCATCTGAGAGAAACTAGAACAATTTATCCAAGATAAAGCCAAGAATAGGAATATGTCATCAAAAAGAAGATGCAAAACGGAAAACAAAATGGAGAAATACAAAACCCTAATATCATGGTATTGAAATAACAGAGTAACTGTTAGGAGGGGATAATAAAAAAGAAACCATGTTTATATAATACAGGGGAAGTTGTAAAAGTAAAAGGATATTGGGCATCAAACTTTGCACGGAGAGCAAGCTTTTTTCTCCGTCTCTCCTCAACTGCCGAATCATCTTCCTTTTGGATCCCACCATTGCCAGGATCATCTTTAGAATGGCTTTCATGCTTCTCACCTGTCTCCAAATCTTCAAAATCACCATAGACATCCTCACCATCTTCAGCAGGCCCAGATATGTCATTTCTCTGAGCAGCTTTTGACCAATCACCAGTGGTAAAGCGATCACGAATACTTTCGCATATTTGTTTCTCTTTCCAGTTTTTGTTTATCGCATAATTCATAAATTTGGAAACATCCTCAGCATTGACATTTTCATCTCTTAATCCTTCTCCAGATTTCTACAGTTAGCAACAAGAAAAGTTCAGGAAAAGAAATAACACTTAACAAGAACCTCCATAGGACAATCATGAAACATGATGAGTATATCCATGTCACAAGTGGATTAACCTTACTCCATTCTCCTTTAGGCTTAAAAAATTCATCACCATCACCTTCTTCATCTTCACTGCCATCCTGGTCATTATCAATATAAGTTGTTGATGCTGATGCAGGATTTCCATATACAAGTTGCATCAGATTGATATTTTGTCTTGAGGCAGTCCTTTCTAGCAAGGATTCTTTCCACTTTGATATGTTTCCCAGGCCATCATCTGATAGAGCAACAAATGGAGGCATAACAAAATCAGATTCTGAATATGATGGAACTCTTATTTTAATAGTTAAGTTACTTCTGGAGACAAGTAACTCTGAAGAAAAAAAAAATCAAACTCCAAAAAATTTTCTCCATCATCCATTCTAAAGTGGCTTTGGACTTTCACAACTAAACCAAACTTAATATTATTAAACTTACTAGAGGAGCAAAGGATAAAAGGAGACTAAATCCTACACCAATTTCAGTATAACAACACACAATGAGGAGAAATTTGAGAAAAAAAGGGTACCATCTAAAGCTTGATCTTCTCCATCTTCCTCTGAAAGATCCTCATCATCGTTGTCATCGTCATCATCATCACTATCATCTTCATCATCATTTTCATCATCCTCATCTAAATCCTAGAGAAAAACATATATATCAAACATGACCACTCATGAAGCACATGTACTGGATAAATAATTACAAAAAGAGCTACTTTTGTATGTTACTTAATCCACAAGTTGCTTCCAAAAAGAAAATACACACTGAACAATTTATCAAGATAAACTGCAGAAGCAGGCGTATGAAACTGGGAAGTTCTAATTGAGTTAATTCTTGCAAACTACTATTGTAAGGAAATGTAACTTGAAAAGAAGTTATAGTGTCAAGGCAAGCTATGTCGACATATTAGCAATTAAAGCCACTGCCCAGTCTAGCCTATCCATGATGCTTCCCACACTTCATCAAATTCTCAGTCGTGGATACAAATATGCAAATGAATCAATGTATCTTAACAACTTGTTACACAGGTACATCATGTAATCATCCTTGGATGACCCTAACAGTCCAACCTGGGGGTCTAAGAACTCTCTCTTTCTCTCTCTTAATTGATGATGATGATAATTTTTTCGATGAAAGTAACAAGGATAAATTACCTTCATTTCATTATCATAAATATTATCTTTAAAGACAGCTTTCCTCCTTAACCTTCCACCATGAACCTCCACTTCTTGCATTAAGTTATCTTTACAATGAGTTTGCCAATTTGATGTATCAACATTTTCTCCATCAGAGTCAGTCTTGTCACTCTTGATCTGTGAACCCTTAAGACAATCTTCATCATGGTCCAAAGATGCTGAATCATCCAGATCTTCAGCATCACTTTCTTCATCAATCTCATCACCTTCAGCATCTTCTCTAGGTTGATACTGCTCTGAAGGCTCTATATCACGAATATTGGCAACTGCTGGATGAGTATCTTCGTCATCAGTCCCAGCTCCCAAAGAGATACCAGGCTTTTGGCCAAAAAGACTGATGAAACTCTTTTCTAACTTTTCATCAATTGAATATTTTGTGTTCTGAAGTGATTTAACCAAAACTTCACCAACATCTCCGTCTTTTCCTGCTAACAGAAATACATGAACTCTTAATCAAGGGAAACAGTGGAACTGCTAATCAAAGATTAGGCTATTGTTTCTCTGCCTCTCACAATTCCATTAAGCAATTCAAGCATATTCTTTGATACAAATGTGATGGCTGAGAGTAGAATAAATATAACTTAACAACAATCAGGGTAAAAAAGGTGTGAACACTGAATATGTAGTAATACCTTTGCGTGCAGTTCCCTCATCTTCACCATCAACTTTTGAGAACTGCACGAAGTGGTCATTTATGTTTATGTAGACAGCATCTTTGTCATACAGAAGATCCCCACTACCAGACATAGGAGCATAAAAAAGCTTTTCCTTGTCACGCAATCCCTTCTTCTTGGCAGCGGATGGCAAAGGACAAGGATCTGCTAAGGCTGTAACACCAGCTAAACCATAATCACCAACACCAGCAATATGAACCTGATCACGAAGTGTAAACTATGTCAGAAGTCAAGAAATCTGAAGACGAAAGGTAAATTACAAATTTTCTTAAAAGCTAGAGCATTGATTAGTAGGATGGTGATTTATATTTCACTTATGGGTTGCTTCAGTAGTCTAGTACCAACCAATATTTTGCAGGCAAAAACTGCCGCTTGTTTCCAAAAAAAAAAATGGAGCTTATGTTTTGTAAGTTCGAGTTTAAAGAAAGACTTTCAGCAGGCTACTCCTGATTGTTCACCCTGTTATGACGAAGCCTCCAGATCTCTAATAATAGATATGAATGCTGATCAGCTGCTTCAAAGGTAATACCTTTCTCTGGCCTAAAAGCTCGTTCTTTCAATTAATCTCAAAGGCATGGAAATGTAACTGAAATTACTCAAATCATTTGTCTTGTGTGCTTATTGTCATCTGATTGAAGTCTATTGTTTGGAAACATAAAATCCATCAAACATCTGTAGCTTTCCAGACAAAGAGAAACAAACATATGTGGTTGGGAAAGAAGTAATGTTGCCAATAGCAACAAAGAGAGATGCTCCAAAAGTGTTAACACCTTTGTTTGGCCTAAAGCTCATGCTTTCAATCAACCTCAAAATCATGAAAATCTAACTGAAATCACCCAAATTAGTTGTCTCATGTGCGTATAGAACACCTCTTTGCTACATAATTGAAGTTTATTGTTTGGAAAACATAAAATTCATCAAACATCTGTAGCTTTCTAGACAAAAATAAACGAATATATGTAGTTGGGGAAAAAGTAACACTACAAATAGCAACAAAGAGAGATTAGTCCACCATCACATGAATAACTTTTCCATATAGACAGAAAGGAAGAGAAAAGTGTTCATATCCATCATGGCTGACTCATGCTTTTGCTATAAAAAATTAATAGATGCATCCATTTTAGGTCCATGCTAATTCATTACTGGAGGTTTACTTATTAATTGTTTTCCCTATAAAAAGACCTACAGAAAGTCATCATGAAAGTACTGACCAACAATTAGAACAGACTTGGCTCTGGTTATATTTCTTAAAATTCAATATTATGCTCTTCAAGCAACGTGACACTTCCTATATTCATAAGCAAGTGGTGGAATAACCTACTGGTTCATTACTGCTCGGGTAATTCATTTGCTAAGGCAACAGTGATAATAGATGATTCAGAAAGCATACCTTCATTCCTTTTTTCATGTTACAACCGCGTAAATAACCATAGAGCGTGATATTTCGATCACATTTCTTATTCATTTCAATTCTTCCTGGAGGAGTAACATCTTCAAAACGATCAACGAGAACATAGGGATGAGATGTTCTCCAAGAAAGAGGATGAAATTTCATGACAGATATAAATCGTGAAAGAATGTGAATTTCACGTTTTGGGAACCTGTAAGGAAACGGAAGCATAAACCACAAAGAATGTCTTTGGAAATATTACAAATTTCCATTCAGCATTGATTTATCATGTACAAGAGAGCGCACAAGTGATTTATCATGTAAGAACGAGTTTCTTACTTTCCATGGATAAGACCAGATAAATAGAACAATTTCGCTCCATCATATATCTCTGTCCAGAAGCGATTCTTCAGACGCTGTTTTGTTTTCTTTAGTTTCTTTACATCCTTGAACTTGTCAAGATGTGTGAGGACTCCCATAACTTTTGGAAATCCATGAACTTGTAAAATATTAAGGAATTCAAAGGTTTCCTGGAGAAGAAGGAAAACGGTTTAGAAACACTTGAAACTTGTTATATTAAATAATACAAAATCAACATCAGTAGAAGTTGCCTTCGACAGAAGAGACAAGGTACATAAGGTCTGGCTCTCAGTAGAATAATATACAAAACTACCTAGACAAACATGAAAAATGGTAGATGAGCAACCACTCAAAAGCAACTAAAAGGTCATTTAAAATACACGCAACAAAATGTTGAGTATCGATTTTTGTTAAAATTAGTGCCGAACAAAAGAGTACATGACGACAGCATAGCAGAAGCATACAAGAGAAACATCCAAGAAAATATAATTAAAGTTCAAACTTAACATTAATAACATGTTAATTTACAGTCATATCGAGATTTTTCAGTTTGTCATGATATCAGAAAAAATATCTCACCATTTCAAAACCATAACTTCCATCTATGAGGAGCAAAGCTAGATCAGCAAACTTGGCAGCATCAATCATACCATTGATATCATTTGGGCACTCTACAAACTGTATTCGCCTTTTCTTTCCTAAAATTTTTAAACCCACATTAGATGAAAAATAACTAAGCTCATAGAAAAAATTTATTGTCAGTATATTAAGATAAAACATTGCACACAGACCTGACACAACAGTAATTGGTCCTCGAACCTCCGGCAAATTTTTGCTTTGTGTAATGCTTCACAAGACATTTGATTAGAAGAGACTTCCCTACCTTTAACAATCACACAACAAACATCATGGATCAAAGTCCAGATCATGAGAGATAAAGCATCAATAGATAAGCATTATAAATTGACTAAATTTATCAAAATACCTGTGGAGGTCCCTGAACTACAACAACATATGGAGATGGTTCACCATAAGAGCGATCAACAGTTGGAAGATGTAGCCTACGCTGCTCTTTCTCTACAGCACGTGATTGTAGCCGCTTTGCTTTTACAGCTGAACGAAAAGCAAAAGCCTATTATAAAAAAAAAAGAGTTAAGTATCAGTACAGAAGGCGATCAATATATGGAATGTATCCTGACCAAATCATGATGATAACAAAAGAAACCAAACATACCTTTGGGTTTTGTTTATTCTCATCAGAGATATCCTGCTTCTTTTTCTTGGCCTTTGCCTTTTTATTGGCAGAGGGACCAGATTGACGAGATCTATGTTCCTTATGTGACTGACCCAGGATACCCGTATTGGCAGCCATCGCAGCTTATACTAATCCTAGAGAAACCAAACACTGGTATTATTTTTCAAATATTTATAAAATACAAGGCAATATACACATGGGATGCAGACAAGAGAAGCAGATTTGGGAAAAAAAAAAAAAGAAGAAAGATGACCAAGTAACACATCCATACTTCTACGTTGTTTAATAAAGTAAACTAAAATCTGCAAAATACCATAAAAAATTAAAGTAATTACAGGAAATAAATAAATAAATTATTATCTACTTAGAAATACTCCTAAAATGTGTACAAATTATCACAACCTGGGTAACACAGGAAAAAACTCCACAAAAATTAAAAAAAAAATGTAAATTTTTAAATATTTTGGGGGTTTTTAAAATTAAATAAGTCACCACTGACCCTTATGGAGTGAGATCAGAAACTAATTATTGCAATGGTCATTTAATCAGAAATTCCATAGTGAAATAATATAGAGTAGGAAGGCGTAAGGCACCTACTCTTTAGTGTTGATTAATTAGTTTAATGTAATTTGCATAAATATTTTAGAAATCTAACTACTGTGCAAGTGTGTGATTATGACATCCATACATAAGTAAAGTTTAATAATTTATATTTACATACTGGATCTTGAGGAAGAGGGTTTAAATACATCAAACGAAAATAAAGAAAATAAAATGGAACCTGGTTAAAGTTAGGTGGTGATACCAAACTCTCGTTCTCAATTCCTCCTTCCATTTTGATCAATTTCAAAAGGACAATTTTATCATAAAAGTCATGTTCTCAAATTTTGCATGAAAGAATAAAACACAATAACGAAAAAAGATGAACATTAGAATTAGTTTAAAAGAAAAAGGAAAAAAAAAAACTATTATGTTATAATTTTATTTTCACAATCCATTTTACTTAGTGTAATTTCTCCAACACTCAACTTTAATATTGAATAACTTCGTTAAAGCCCAACCATTTCTTTCACTTACGAATTTGCAATTAAAAGTTTAAAAAAAAAAAAAAAAACTTAAAATCAATTAAATAAATTCCACAGAGATTTAAGCATGATAGCCTATCAAAATTGAAATAATCTACTGATTCGGACTTAACATTTACAACACAACAAACTTTTATTCACTTAATTCTTTCAAGCATCTCAAACCAAGATTATTTAAAAAAAAAAAAATCTCAAACCAAGATAGAGGACAATACTCCATTCTTAATCCGTCTAAAATCAAACACATAATGCCAAGTTAAAAAACCACAGTCTTCCATTGTGTTCTGTTTACAAATTTGTTCAAAATCAAAATCAATTAATTTCAGAAATCTGAGACAAGAAACATAACCTTGTATATCTGCTCAAAGCACATTCCAATAACCCAATTTTGAAGAAACAACCGTGGCCTTAACCACAGATCCCAAGGTAGCAGGGTTTTATGATACATGGCAACGACCTGCATAAAATGCTTAGATCGTTCCCAATTGCCTACAACCTGCACCTCCTACACGAGCAAGAGTAAACAAACTCTTAATAGTGTAGGTGTTATGAACACCCACCAAACCATATGGATGGTGGGAAGATAGTTGACTTTTGCTTAATTATTAATTCAGCCCGTATCCCTCTGTTGGATTGAATACTGGAAATAGGCTTAGGTCAGCTCTAGGCTATAGGGGAGAGGTTACGGATTCAATCTCTTGGCTGTAGAATAAGCTACTTTCACTCGGGCAAGACTGTCTAGCTGTTAAACAATATGAACTTCCAATATTCAGGCAGTACGCATGAGGCTATAAACTTCATACTTCATACCAACTAAAACTGACAGGAAACACGAAAAGGTTTTTCCAGGCATGCGAGATTATTAAGGGATTCTACTCTTAGGGACGAGCTTAGAGAGTACTTTTTCAATTTAGCCAATACATGTTCCACATTCTATCAATTAAGCAGGACAGGAAAAGAACTATGCAGAAAAACAAAAATCGGATTTGCAGTGTTTCTTTCACTCCGCATATTCATATATCCTAGTAAACCATACACAATACCTCGGTTTAAGAAAATTACAAATACTCTAACGGAACTACAAATAAAAAAAAAAAAAGAGAGAGAGATTAAATTTTTACCGGGTTTCAAAGATGATCTGCAAAACTTCAGAACGCCAGCAAATTAAGCCCCGAAACCGTGTTCCCTCTCTGTTTTTCTTCTTTTGTTACGCACTCTGCCCCTGCTCTCCTCCGTTCCTCGCCAGCTACAAAAGAAAAGGAAGAAAACCTAAACCTCCCCCGAGTCCCCCTCCCTCTGTGTCTGTCAACGCCTGGCGGAAGAAGAGGTTTAGTTTAAACTGCCTCCCCACAAACGACACCGTTTTAGAGAGGCAGTTTGGTGGAGCCCGAGTGGGCTGGGCCGAAGGGAACTTATAAACTCCGTATCTATGAACACATTACATGAATAAGAAAACTACATACTTCAAAATTAAAATTAAAATAAAATAAACCTTATCATAACCACGATGCGATAGCAAAACTAATGTAAATTCGTGACAAATATATAACGAGCCACTATTAGCTCATTCAATCGGGGAAATCAAACACTCAAAAACTTGTATTGATTTGATAATAAAAAATTAAGTACGAAAAAAAAATAACGAGACACCAATCCAGTGACACGAAGTAATTATTTTGGTAAAACAAGATATGTTCAAAATATAACAAAAATAACATAAAATATTTTAAATTAATAAAATTATCACACTAAATTTAATAAATAGTATGTTAATAAAAATACGATCGTATATATTTATTATAGTAAAAATATACTTTGCATAAGATGTTAATAAAATAATAAATATAAGATAAATATTTTATCATGATAATTTATTTTGTTAGTACATATACGTGTTTTGGTTTACATTAATTTCATTGTTATTTTTTTTAAATTAATGAAATTTAATTACAATTATCTTGAAATATAAAAAAATTAAATATATTTTCTCCTTTTAATTTAATGTACCTAATAAGAGCAGTCTTAAAAAATATATAACTAAAAAATAGGTTAAAATTTTTAAAATATAAAATTCTTTACTGTAATTTATATATATATATATATATATATTATATTTTGCACATATGGTTGCATAATTTAAACTGAAATATTGCGGTTATTTAAATTATAATTTAAGATAAAAAAATTTAGTTATTTATTTATTTTATTTTAATAAATAATTTTAATTTATTTCAAAAAAACAAATGATTTTAATTGACTGAAAAATAAATTAAAAAAAAAAAAGACAAAGGAAAAAGATCCTCTGCGCTTGTTTTCGAGCTCCATTGAAGGGGACGTGTCCATTGAGAAAACAGACTATGGTCATGGTGTTTACACAGCAAGAGCAGCAGCCATGAACAACATCAACTGCACAGAAGAAGAAGATCAGCGAAAGCGAGAGAGTTCTCTCCCACCTCTGGATTCCAGATTTAATCAGACCCTTAAGAATGTCCAAGGGTTTGTTCCTACAATTATCCGTTCCCATTTTCAATCTTATTAGATGAAATCTCTCAATTCTCATGCATTTATATGATATCGTTTTAGAATCATTTGATTCGACTAATCATTTGAGGGATTAATTCAGATCTTCTAAATCATGCTTATATTACAAGTACGGGTTGTTGGATGCTCTAACTCTTAAACTCATCTGGCAATTGATTTGATTGGTTATGTAACAGAAGGCATTGTGTTTTCTGGAATCTTCATTTTAATTATTTCTCAGTCGCGAATTCTTCTGTTCTTTAGTTGATTTGAGAAATTCACTGGATAAATAGTTTCTGATCTCTGTGTTAACATCTTAAGTTAGTTCGTCTCTGTCTTTTTTGTCCCCATTTCTTTCTTTAATTTTGATTTAGAAAGAGGGGGCTTCAAGTTCTTAGGAAGAGCGGTACGAGGCAGCTCGCGTACGGTTTGGGAGCCGAGCCCCCAGCCCAGAGGCTTAGGCCAACACTTATATAATAGCCAGTCATCGATTAGATTATTACGATTGATCTGTAGTTCAAGGGCACTTTTCTGAATCCGAGTGTGAGATAGAATAAGATCCAGACATAGAGTCCCGTCTGCCGGGAAGGGATTTTCTCTATTTGTTTTTGACTCCTTTCTGGCCTTACCTTCTAGTAAAAGGTTATTCTCCTTCCCCACGAGGGAAAGTCCCTTTCCAGACGGAGTAGTGCATCTCTGCCTTTCAAGAGTGCCCTACAGATAGGAACTACTATCTTTACTGTCTATCCAACCTGAAGACTCTTATTCATGGTGGAGTGCTTCAAATAGGATCTGACCCCATCCCGGCAGTCAAACTCTTTCCTGACCTGACTCACCTACCTCTAAAGCTGGAATTCTTTTATTGGGGAGGCTACTCGAGGAATCAAAAAGTTTGAAGTGGGATGTAGAAAGTGATTGTTGATGGATGGTAGTTATGAACTCAGTTCTGCATCAGATGAGAGCCCATGCGAAAATTTTCTCTCATGATGGCACTCAACAGATAGGCTATTAGATTTAGTCGATTTGATGGCTTAAGTATGATTCTCAAATTTAGAGATATTGATGGAATAATGATGTTGGTTATTCTGGATATGCATGGGTTTGAGTCAAATTTGTGAGAAGACTTATGTGGTTTTCTGTTTTGGCTTGTATGTTTGAATGTGTTGCTTGCTTGTAGAATTCACTTTGGTTGATGGGGAAACAATCAGTCTTGCAACTGTGGCATGTAAGTTTGGATTGGCCTAAGTCAATTTTATTCACATTTTATTGTTAATTCTTTAAGCATTTGATATGTAAATCTTAGTTATAATTTACATAATTGAGGATAAATGGACCAATTTCAGTAATATCTTCAACTCTAGAAGTATAGATTTCTTTCTCCATGGTCTAAGAAAAAAACATTTGAATTGAACACAAAATTAACTTAGAATTAGAATGTTATTTTCATTTAAATCTTCATTCCAATTTAATTGTATTCCCAAAAATGTTCAATAGAATTATTATTTGAACCAAACATAACTTTTTATGTGTAATATTTAGTGATATTTAGATTTGCTTTCAAGGTAACTGGACAGGCATAAGTTGCAAGAGGAATTTTAACCTTGGTTTTCTTGGCGTATGATAAATGTATTTGTCTATCTTACATCTAGTAGATTACACAATCATGGTTTGTAATTTTGGGTTTTGATAGCCCTAGGACCCTCATTTTACACATTTTTACCCATTTGGTTGTGTGTATACACAAGCACACAGGAATAGAGCCTTAGAGACGAGCCTCAGGGACATAAACGTCGAATAACCACGTTATAAGGCCTTCTAATTTTTCATTTTAATGAATCAAATAGGTTAAAGAAGTGTTACTTGCAATTTTTTTCCTTTTCCACTCAGTAATTTAATTTTGAAGCATTTGTAATAAACTGAAGAAGACATTCTTTCTCTCTCTCTATTCTCTCCTCACCTACAAGCTCTAATGCATCTTGGATAGAAACCTTTGCATTTGCTATGAATGTTTTAGTTTTAACCTTATTTCCCTTTATACTCTTCATGCTTCATAGTTTAGTTGCAGCTTTTGCAACAAAAAGCATTATAGTTTGTATAGGTTTTCTGGAAAAAAAAATTGTTTTATGGGGATGATTTTTCGAATGATGACTTATATAGCTATAGTGGAGTTTATTTATGCTTCCAATCTGCTTAATTTCCATGTTTTAACTATTAATGTTTTTTTCTTCCTTGGGCTAAGACTGCTTATATGTTGATGTGTACTGTAAAGGTTACTTAAGGGCCGCAGTATTCCTGGTAAAGTATTACTGACAAGGAGATCAGATTTTCCAGAGGACTCCGGCATAAGATCACCAACTTATCAGAGGAGTTTATCAGAGAATGACACTGGCAGAAGTGATCATGGGGATAAGTTTTTGGATGTAATACTGTATATTTATTTCTCTTTTCTGTACTTTCTGTTTACTAATACTATCTAATTTGTTAGAGTTCTAAAATTAGAAATTTTAATAAGTTCTGAATCTTGGTCCTTATGTAGGCAGAAGGACAGAATGCTAGCAAGACAAGTAATAAAGCACCTGTTAATAAGATGAGATCATCATCCTTAAATGTCGAAAATACAGCCAGAGAAGTCCAAAAAACTGCAATGGGTGCTAGAGCAACTGATTCAGCAAGAGTACTGAAGTTCACAAAGACGCTATCAGCAACCACAGTTATGTTAGGTATTGCGTCTATGTATTATTTAACTGCTCATTTGTTCATTTATTCAGCATTTAGTTGCTATCTTTATTTTGTGAATGTTAAACTGCTTATAGTTCTTGGCGACATCTATCATTTAGCAGACAACACGTTAATCCATCAACAAATCCTTTTGTCTTAGTGAACCTCTTGATGAATTATGCTTATTGGTTTGCAGTTATTTTGTAAATTAAACTGTATGAGCCTTATTTCTTTTTCTTTCCTCTTCTCCATCCGCAACTTGTGCAGAGAAGTTACGTGAGTTAGCATGGAGTGGTATACCACCTTATATGCGCCCTGATGTCTGGCGGCTTCTCTTGGTATGACTGATACTCTTCTGTTGGTTTTATCTTTAGGATGCACAATGCTCTTAAATTCTTAAATTGGTTGGCATCTACTGCATACCGATTGTTGTAAAATGGATTGTGAAAGATGAAGCAGACACTACAATATCAATCTACACTTTATTTATGGGGCAAGTTTTATTATGGTGTTCACTGCTTGAACCTGAAAACATGTGTTAGGAAGTAGATTGCTGTTTCTGTTGTAATTTTGGTATCCCTACCATTTGATTTGAAACTAAATAGTTCATAATTTAGAATACTCTTTACTGATCATAATACTAGTTGCTGGCCCTAATCTGGTTTGTTATTCCTATAGATGTATTAAATATTGTTTGTTGCTTGAAATTTAAATATGAACTGACAACAGGGATATGCACCACCTAATTCAGATAGAAGGGAGGGAGTTCTAAGAAGGAAGCGCCTTGAGTATCTTGACTGTGTAGCCCAGTTTTATGACATTCCAGATTCTGAGCGTTCAGATGATGAGATAAACATGCTTCGTCAGGTGTTGCTTTGCTATCTAATTATGTCTTGGTATTGAATATCTTCTGCCTTATTCATGAAAGGTGTGTTGCTGTGCATGTTAGATTGCTGTTGATTGTCCAAGAACTGTACCAGATGTCTGTTTCTTTCAGCAAGTGCAAGTTCAGAAATCTTTGGAGCGCATTCTCTATACATGGTTTGACATTATTCTATCCTTTAACTATTGTTCATTACCTTTCTCCTTGGATAAGAAAGAAATATTGTTAAGGACAAGAATAGATAAAATACTATATACAAGGATAAGATATTCTCTTAGAGACTTCTAGCAGGAGAATGCCTAAATGTAGTTAAAGCAAAACCCGATAAATATCAGGGTATTATCACCACCCCCCCCAACCCAGTTTCCATAGTGGATATTTCAGTAAGTTTTCCTCGAGCCTTAGTCCGTAAGGAGGACAGAAATTTCATCTGCCCTGCAGCATTTGGACATGGAAGGTGCAATCTTCAAAATCCTGTTGTTCCATTCCAGCCATGATATCCACAATCGCCTAAACGAAGTATCTCTCTGTACTGTTTTGGTTATGTTCTCATCTCCTCTCCATTTAGATTCGGACTCATGAAACAATCCAGAGAGAAATATACAACCCACACATTAGTCTTTGTTTTTTGAAAAAAGAAATAAATTTCAACATACAATATTATCATGATTAACTAAATGATTGTGTTAACCAATAGCTAGGGTATTTCAACAGAGTACAGAAAGAGGATGTGTATATTTTATCTATCAGTTAACTGAAAGAAATCTCTTGCTTGATTCAGCTGGGCTTTCTGCATCACAATCTCCGTAATCCATCCTGGCATCTTGGTCCTAGACTCTAATATTTTTTCTTATTGAATTTCTTTTTGGCTCAAGTTAAGAAAGCATGCAAGTTTGCGCCCTATAAAACGGGCCTGATTGTGGTCCAAATTGCACTAGTTTGATGTGATAACACTTTTATTTAGTACTTACGGTATCTCTGATGTAATAGTAGCAACATGGCTAAGGTCTTTTGCTTCCTAGTAAACAGTTAGGCATAAATTATTAGTGGAGTACTACTGTGCTTTTTCTGTGGTTTAGCCTGCATATACATCAGTCTGCCTCCATATCCTGATAGTGTTGTCAATTGTAGTGTACTTGGAGGTTTCTCAGTTCATGTCAAAGTCCTTATAATTTCTTCTCTTATTGGGTTATCAAAGGTACTTGTTGTGCTTTCTGATGTAGGACAAAGAGAGCTGGGACACAATACTTGAAAGAAAATTACGAAGAAACAATACAGGAGGACTTGGATCTCAATAATCAATCTTACATCAATCAATCAATACTTAGTAATTCTTAAATAAGCTAAACATCCGTAATAACACTTAAAAGATTATAGATACATAGTATGTTTTTGAAATAATAGATTCATAGTATTTTTAAATATTAAATTATGCTCCTTCTAGAATCTTCTTGCTCTTCATTACTTATACTGTGTGATGGTGCTGTTAAAAAAATTGTTTAATATCACGTGTTCAAGGTACTTTTAGCTTGGACTTTCGGTGGGTAGTAACATAAATTACAAAGGTACACTAGTATAGTCGCAACTTTTAGATAGCTTTTTTTCTTTTCATCTTTCATATCAGTTGTTTGATAGCATGGGGAAAATTTTTTTCATGCACTTTCAAATTCTTGAAGTTTAGTGGATCGTTTTCTTTCCCCAAAAGTGGACTGTGATAAACATTGGTTCCAAGACATTCTTTAGTTTTCCCCCCTACAATTTTCCAATCAAGATAAATGTTTTTATAGATTAGCCATTCACTATTATAATATAACAAAAGTGATATGCTACTCAAGATTTGGCTTGCTGTGGATGTCCTTGCTTGAGTGTTTCATTATGCTATCGCACTCATTGTTCATATGTAATTTTTCTCTTGAAAAACATTCCAGGGCCATTCGACATCCTGCAAGCGGATATGTTCAGGGAATAAATGATCTTGTTACACCTTTCTTCGTCGTTTTCTTGTCAGAATATTTAGAAGGCGGCGTGGATAGCTGGTCAATGGCTGATCTCTCTTCAGAGAAAATCTCAGATGTAGAAGCTGATTG